GAGTGTGAATTCACAGAGAACAGAATCTGGGCTTAGCTACCCCTGCACTATTTTCACAGTGTGAAGCCCGATTACCTGCTTGGCAGTTAGAAATACAAAAGTTTTTCCACTGAATATTTTTTTCCTTTCATGATGCTCAGATAGATCCAGGTTTTCAGTGCCAATGGAAGGCTCATCAACTGGAGGATAAAAGCTGCAAGAACAGAAAACTAAAGTTAAAAATTCAGGTTTACCTATCAGTATTGGCTTATAACTTATAGTCCTTTCTACTTTACAGTAAAGCTCTGAAGTTAAAATACTGCCTTTCTCTGTTAAAACTATTTACATAAATAATTTTTCAAGAGATTATTCAGAAGAAATAGAGCCTCTAGCTTTCAACATCTAAGCTCAGATCAAGAGCTTCTGCTTTAGTAACTAAGAGGACAACACTTTTAGGAATGTATTCAACCTATCCACGTCAAGCATCTGCTGTGTATACATATCCACATTCTCCACCACCAATACTGACAAATGAGACTGCAATCTCTTTCTGCACTTACTTTAATAGTAAAACTCCACACAAAATTAGTCATCTTGCTTCCCTTACCCTGCATGTGGGGACAGCCACCACTCCTCTTCTATTGGAAGAAGAAACTGTGTACCATCACTCTAGATGACAGCCTACTAATACAACAGAAAATAAACCCACTTTCCTTGCTGGCGCGACAGAGAACTGAATGGATTCACCCTGAACATTCTCACCTGTTGCATGCCCACACCATACAAAGCCTCTAGAGTTAAATGCAATAACCTCACTGATAGTTTCAGGGTAGGATTTACAGGATCTTTGAGTCACATGTACACTACTACAGCAGCTCTCACAGAGCAAGGTGAATGCCTATGTTAAAATGAAGAGAAATGATCAGTGAATTTAAACCACACCATCCTATGCCTATACCCAAACAGCAGCTCATGTACATACTCTGGCTGACCACAGAACTGCTTATCTTTATACTGACTGCTGACTATACATCCTTCTCACACTACTATACAGGAAAAAAAGATGCTGAAAGACAGTCACAAAATCTGGTTTAACAGCACAATAAATTACATACATATACATGGATGTGTTTTTTTTTTCCTCCTAATTTTTACAAGATTAACAGATTCTAAGAAACATACTCCATAAAATGCTGAAATATTTAATTTTCTGAAAAAAAAACCAAAACATCTGCAAACACAGACATTACTCAGACACCGAATATGCATATATTTACAGCTGAACACAAAAACAGAATGTAAGTTTTCTACTGCATCTAATATGTAACTGTTATGATAGGCTAAAATGTACTCTATAACTACAAGTTCAGTTTAATTTAAAATTTAATCTTTTTTTTTTTTTGTTCTTCACAATCAATTCCTGAAGCTTTATGTCACCATAAAAAGCCCCAAGTAAGAAGCACCACATTCACATGGACACTGCAGGTTTGCAATTCTGTGAAATCTTGATATAAATAAATAGTGGGTTGGGTTGGTGGTTTTTTTTAAGTTTATATTTCCCTAGTAATCAAGATTTAATTAACAGTGTCACCCTGCATTACCACATCAATACACCTTTCTTATTTCATCCACAAACTAGTATTACCCCAGGCTGTTTAATGTTTTGTGGATGTACCAGCTCAGGTCAGGTCTAAGTACAATGCACAATCCAGAGGTTCCCTGTGAAAGTTAAGTTTTTTTGGAAGTTGAATGCAAACAGCTGCTAAGTAAGTTTTCAGTATTTTCTGACAAGCTACATCTTAAAAATATCACCTATTTAAAATATTGTAACCATTTTAAACGCAGGTCTGCATATTACACAAGCTGCCTCATTTATCTTGATGCAGAACTCTCTGAGAGCTAGAGAATGGATACACTGCTAGCATCACTGACAGTCAGCTCAATTCCTGAGAATAGGCAGCAAAATATTCATGAAAGGGAAACTTACCTACCTGGTTCTATTCCAGGGAGCACTTAACTGCTCATTTATACTCTTATATTAAAGGAAGGGACAGCACACACCATGGTTTCAAGAGCACAGGCCACCTTTTGCTTGTTACTGTAACAGACAGTAACCGCAGCCGACAGCCAGGTAACATTAGAGCAAGCAAATTTCAGTTGGCACAAACAGTTGCTAGCTTCTGATGGCTTGTACTACCTGTACTAAAATAAAGAATCTGCCAGAAAATCTTATTTTTGTGTCCAGCATTTCAGAGAGGACCCTAAATAGTTTAGTTTTTTCATGTCCTTATAATACAATGTAGAAGGCAAAGTCACAATTCAAGAATATTCCCCCTTTCTTCTGAAACTGAAGACCAAATGAGCTTTAAATTCACAGATGACTGATCTGATGCATTACATAAACCCTGGCAAATATAACTCCACACCTAGGAACAACAGACTATTTGCTACCAATTGCTCCAGATTGGCACTTGCACTGTTCTAACAAGATACTGCCACATTCTGTGGAATACCTTATAGCACATGACAAGTGCAGCTTATTGTGAACCCTCTGGAGCTCTCTCCATTACCATGTGTGCACCACTGAGGTTTGTTTAGTTGCCTTTCCCCCCACAAGACTCACTAAAGAAAATAAATTGTTACATCATAACACATATGTATGTAACAACACTGACTTCTACTCTTCATCACTTCCCCACCCCAGTCCCAATGTCTGCTGTCCAGCATCCACCTGGTAAAAACAAAATATCCACAAAAATCATGTCCTGAATGCATTTAAAGCAATTTCACAATTTTTTTTCTCCCTATTAACTGACATTAAAAATTCAACATGTTGTTGCCAAGTACTTTTACTGTAAAATTAAATACAATTTCCATTTATTTTGTATCTTCCAAAGCATGCAAAGAATAGAATCAATTAAGTACCCACAAGTACCCATGCAGTTTACCTTTTTAAAATACACAATGGAAGAAATATCTCACCTGCATGAGTCGTGTGTTCATACATAAAAAATAAACACCCAAAACATAACTGTCTCCCTTTTCAAGGTAAAAATAGTAGTAATACAGGCTCAGATGAAATTCTGGAATACTGTAACAGGCTTATTTTACACTCTTCTACATGGAGAAAACCAAAAGGGCAGTTCTGCAGTACTTATTTCTTCCAAAGTAAGAATTCCCTTTTCAAGTTAATTTAACTATGAAAACAATGAGTATTCTCATATAGTGAAGGTCAATGCACATTAGTCTCAGTTCTTATCTCTTAACAGATAATTAAAAACCTCAGCTACTTCAGGAATTCAATGGTCAGGGTGACTCTGTTCTGGCCAAAGGTTACAGTAAACTCAGGAATTGACTGCATACTGGGAAAATATGACTACAAACCAAAATAAGCTTGATGTATTTTCTTTAAAACAAATACAATTATATTTTTATAAATGTATCAACTCCCGAAAGAGTTTAAATGTTGCTTCGAACAGATTAAAAAGTTCCTATTTAGAGCTAGTAACATCTCTAAGTCAATTCCAAGAGCTCATTTTATAACTCCAGACACGAGAACAAGAAAACTGCCTGAACATTCAAATGTGTGTCATATTAAGCATTCTTCTACAAATATGGTCAGAGAAATGTGTAGTTATTTGATAACTTAACTCCCATAATTCTGTGACACTGAAGACATGATGCTTACCTTTCATGAGCTGGCAACCGCTGCCTGGACTGGATAGCTTTGATTAATTCAGCAAAAAATTCTGGCTTTATAATTGGTCTACCACAAATCAAAGCACATATGGTCTGCAAAAACAGAAATTATGTATTTACTGGATGGAAAAAGTTCAGCTAGAATATGGTTCAACTGACATCAGCTTTTTAAGGCCTTAGATGTGGAAAATCTCACAGACAAACAGAAAAATACTGAATTTTGCTACTGGAAACCAGGATAGCTTTGCTTCTAAGAGCCTAGCTTTTAATTGCCATCCTCACCAGAGTTACGAAAACATAAAAGGCAATTGATGAAAATCAGTGTCTTCAAACTGGCTTTTTACATTTTCTTTTCCTCCAATCTCCCATCAACTGATATCTCTTCCTAAGTCTGGAAAAGGAGGAGTTGACTTCATAGCAGTTGTGGGGAAACGACAAAGCAATGCCATCAGTATGCAAACATACCTTAACAGTAACTTTTACTGATACCATTACAAGATGAGTGCACTCTCCCGTCCATTCATTTACTACAAGACCTCCAAGCTGCTGGATGGCTTGATGTAACGCAGTTTTCTGAGAAACATCCAAACATGAGGAGCAGACAACCAAAGGTTCGTATTCTACTCTGAAAAGACAAGTAAAAGATTTGTTTTAATTATTTCAGCCAATCATTATGGAGAACAGAGCTGACTCAATTACCATGTTTGTGATTTGGGGAAATCTGGGGGTGGGGACTAACCAAAGTCAAACCCATAACTCTTACCTATATCAAAGACTGTGCTTTAATTTTTTCAAAAGAAGGTAAATACTGATTTTTATTCTGAAAAATTAACAAGACTTTCATCTGATGTCTGAAATATTTCTAAAGACCTTTCAGTCTTTCACAGACAGCACATGTAATTAGTGCTTCAATAATATTGCAAGGTCAAGGAATATCAGAAGAAATTGAGTGTGTGCTTCCAAAGGCAAAAGTATGCTCAAAAGAACAGTCCATGAACAGATTAGTATTTAAAAAAACGTGTCACAGAATGCAAGTAACTTTTTTTCCTGACACTGCCATTACCCTTGACTTTAAGCCTATTTATATTTGTAGATCTTCCATATGGAATTACAGCATATCAAATTCCATTATTTGATTTGGTTTAGTCTACAATGCAAAAAGAAATTGTAATAATTTTTCTGCTGCAGCAGTCACAATGTATCTGGTCTCACAACCTGAATCCCATACCACAATTCAGGTATGCTAGCAAAACAAACTTATTACAATAACTAGGTAAGAATGCTGGGTTTTTTCTATCAAATAGCAGTGAGAAAACAGAGTCAAATTTTAAGGAACAAAGCCAACTTCTGTTTGCTTTCTTGTTGATTTTATTTGTCATTAGAGTTTGTTTTAATTACCTGTCACTTATTTCAAAGAGTGCTTCACATATTCAAACTGATTACTACACTAAATCTGAAAAGTTAGCAAATTGGATTCACTAAAGGAGAAGGAAGGCATAACATCACAGAAAGAAGGATTCAATGGCTAGAGCTGCACAAAGCACCCTCCAGCTATCTCAGTTCCATTCCTGTTACATCATCAACAGCTAACAAGAGCTCAGCCAAGCTCTCTCCCTACCCATAACTTTCCTCCCTTCTTTAGAATCATCTGTGTTTTAGGACTTTGTTCTTCTCCTAAGGGAGTATGAAAAGACTCGCTGTACCTGATACAACATCATCTTAAACACTAATGCTTTACTAAGAACAATTTTAGTCTCTTAGTGTCAAAATAAAATATTATAAAAATATTTAATGGAAAACTATTGCAGAAGCAGGTATGGGACACAGGCAAAACATTGCTCATCTCCTCTGCTTTCTAAAATCTCATCATTGCTGTATCACTTGCCAACTTATGGGATGTGGAAAAATACTCTCTTCAAAACCCGCAATTTTCTACTTGGTATTTCATAACCAAAGCACTTACCTAAACTTGCTCTCAAAGACTCCAAAGTTGATTCTGTCACCAGACTGCAAAGACACTGAAGTACCGTTGAGTTTTGACCCATTAACAAAGGTACCATACTTTGATGTATCTTTTACTGTTAGCACAGGGACTGAGAGAGAATGGCTCTGAAAATAAACACATATAGGCCACTATAGTTTATCGAAATAAGACAGTTTTATCAGAAACAAGTTACTACCATTGATCAAAGATCAAAGGAGAAGATAAACAAGGAAAAGCCCACAAATAGCATCCTAAATAAAGACTTTGGACAGTGAGGTTGGCAGCCTGCTTTTATGAATTTTTTTACGCAGTTATACAATATTTGCAGTATCAAAGGAACAAATAAATTGTATGCATTTCACCCCAAATTCTATATAGGATTATATATATTAAATTCCTACTGACTGGCTTTAACACATCCATAAACATAGTAATACACAAGTGATAGTAATGCTGATTCTCCTTGGGACATTTTTGTTTTCAGTCCCTTAAGCAAAGGCAGAAGTAATGATGTGAAATGAAACACCGACTAAGCCTGCAGCAAGACAACCAAAGCGCTTTCCAGAATCAAGACCTAGAATTCATGTAATGAAATTAAATTTCAGAATTTTCCTGCTTTGATTACTTTAATACAAATTACTAGTGAATTTTCATTCTGTGATGAAAGGGACCAGAAGAATTATACTACTAAATTCCTCAACACAGTCAAGCAACTGCGAGGAAGACAAGAAAATATCTAAGATTAAGAAAAGACAGGCGATCAACAGTTCTACTCCAAGCATAGAACAGCAGTGAGGACACACGTGGTCACGGCAGACAGTTACCCACACAGTATATTGATAACACAGTAAAATGCTGGCTACTTACAGGGGTTGTTCCAGGATGATTTACTGTCAGAACCGCATGACTTCGACTGATGGACTGATCATCCTGAATCAGAATTGCACAGTTTTTGCGTCCAACAACATATTCCGTGTCACTTAAAAGCCGATACGGCTCTCCTGAAAAGAAACAAGAGAAAAACACCAATTTACAAAAAACTCCAAAACACCCAAAGCACTTAGGAAATATTTAGAAGCTTGTAGTATATCTGAAACTCACGTTGTCATGCATCATTTATTAGACTGACTAGAATTATGCATTTATAGACAAAGTCTCTTCCGCTCTCCCTTGCTTCATCCATTATAAAGGGATGTATTTTATGATAACACAGTTAAAAAAGTGGTGGCCCAATTTTTTTCAAGGACAGCATATTTTAACTAATACTTTGCTTCTTAAATTTTCTCTTGTATTACTTCTTGAAGATCAAGTGTTACATACAGAAGGATAAAATAAGATAGGTTTTCAAAATCACAGGTTTTAATGGTACACAATTATTTGAGGGTACATAATTTACTTACTTAACTTATAAAGAGTTTCAGGGAAAAATGTCTTCCTAATGAAAGCAAGATGATCTGCGATGTAGATGAAACCGATACTTATTCATTCTCTGACCCATGCTTTAGCTCCTTCCTGGTATCTGACACCTAGACCACATAGTGACTTCTCCATTAACGGCTTTACTACACCCAAAAGGTGTGTTACCTACTGGTCAACAGAACCCGGAATGTTTCTTTAATAACATGAGTGAATAACTACAAATTAAATTCTAGCTATCAAACATGGGAAAGTAACTTCCCAAATATGAACTGTGCAGAAATTATCATCCTAAATACAAAAACAATATCAACGTTTTGGCTCTTGTTCAGGAGTTTTTACAGACAAAGAGAACTTAAGAACTAAGAGATAATTTAGTTCATTCCAATAGGATTAAGCACTGTTGCCACTAGGAGATAAACCCTATGTCCAAAATTCGCTCCAAATGAACTAGGAAATAAAGAGCAGATGCAATTGTGATAGGACTACTTACTATGTGGAAAATATTTAAGTCAAGAAAATACACAATGATAACTATTATAAAAGTTAGCGATTTATCAAAGCTCCTACAGATTTGTAAACTGTTGAAGAAGGGTACAGTGACTATTCAGTTTCAAAACTCTGAATGCAAAAAACAACATGGTATCTTAAGTTCCAACACTTGGTCTTTGAAACATCAGCATAATATACTTCCGAAAGGAGAGGCTCCCGAGGTTGACTTCTGCCTCGGAGCTCAGCTCCTCAGGCACTTGAACGCAGCGCTGTGACCGGCTTCCCTGGCTGCAGCAGTCCCCGAGGACATCCCTCGGGGGCTGGCCGGGCGAAGAGCCCTGCTCAGTTCGGGAGCCGGGCCGCGGGAC